ATGAAGATATTGAACAGAACCGGCCCCAGAACCGATCCCTGTGGGACCCCACTCGTTATGCCCTTCCAGCATGTCTGTGAACTGTGATAAATACTCTCTGGGATTGGTTTTCCAACCAGTTTTGCACCCACCTTATAGTAGCTCCATCTAGGCTGCATTTCCCTAGTTTGTTTATGAGCAGGTCATGCGAGACAGTATCAAAAGCTTTACTAAAGTCAAGATATACCACATCTACCGCTTCCCCTCATCCACAAGGCTTGTTACCCTGTCACAGAAAGCGATCAGGTTGGTTTGACAAATCCACGCTGTCTGTCACTTATGGCCTTATTATCTCCTAGGTGTTTGCTAATTGATTGTTTAATTATTTGCTCCATTATCTTTCCGGGGACAGAAGTTAAGCTGACTGGTCTGTAATTCCCCGGGTTGTCCTGATTTCCCTTTTTAGAGATTTGCCCTTTTTTAGTTGTTTGGAATCTCTCCCTTCTTCCAGGACTGTTGGAGATCATGGCTAATGGACTGTCGCATGGTGTGTCACTGTTCACGCTAGGCGGCCCTGTGTGCAAAACACCTATTAGACAAGGAACCTCGGCCAGACCAGGCCGAGATTGGCAGGGCCCAATGATGTACCCAGCCGGGGGCTACCTTGCTCCGAGGTAAGCCCTGTAGTCAGTCCATATCTGGTACACTGGGGTGCAGGGAAAGCCACATGCCCCCTTCCTCCCCCCCGGAGCACCCCGTCCCCCTTACCCTGCTCCTGCGAGCCCCTCTGCCTCGCCATGCTCTGCAGATACTCCCGCTCCTCCTGCAGCCACCGCTCTCGCAGCCGCTGGTCCATTTCCCGGGCTGGGCAGCTGTCCTACGCAGTCCTCGGGCTGTTGGAGACAGACAGGGACATGCACTAGCAGGACGGAGCAAATCCTGCCCTCCCCGGCCTCACCGCCGGCCGCACATACACCCAGGGACCCTTGGCACGGCACCGTACGGCACGGCACGGCAGCTGCCTCTGCCTGGATCCTGCCCCATGGCGATGCCACACATGGGACGGAGAATCCCAGGTCCCACTGAAACTGGCCGGGGGGGGGGGGCGGGAGGGGGAATCAGGAACCTGAACAGAATCTCCCAGAGATCCCAGCAGCTCACACCTCCCATCCCAGAGCAGGAATTAATGCTTCACCCCCAGGGGCTGGCAGCAGTACCCAGGGAGTGGGGAAACTGAGTCACGCAGCTGGTTCATCAAATCTTACCAACTCCCCACGTTCTCTTTGCTTTACATGCCGTAACTTCTTACCTATCTCCTAACTGTGGTACATCCCTACCCCACATACATGGGCATGAATTCTTGGCTCCACACCTTAGCTAGGCAACCCTGTGTAACTAAATGAGTGAGAGCCCTACTGTGGGGCACTGAGGAATTTAAATTACCCTGCATGTGTCTAATACTGTATTTACCCCCCCATGCTCCCTCACAGCCACCTCTGGGGTGGAACACAGCAGCTGTTCAACTGCACCAAGCAACACTGCATGGCACTTTGGGTGAGGGAAGAGTGAACAGGATCAGTGAACGAAAGAACAGCCAGGCGGGGTCAGACCAAAGGTCCATCTAGCCCAGTGGTCTCCAACCTTTTTACGCACAAGATCACTTTTTGAATTTAAGATCAACCCAGGATCTGCCCCGGCCCTTCCCCGAGGCCCCGACCCATTCACTCCATTCCCCCCTCCCTCCCTTTCACCGGGCTGGGGCGGGGGTGTGGGGTGTGGGAGGGGGCTCTGGGCTGAGCCTGGGGCAGTGGCTTGGGGTGCAGGAGTGAGGGGTGTGGGCTCTGGGAGGGAGTTGGGTACAGGAGGGGGGTCTGGGCTGGGACAGGGGGTTGGGGTGCGGGAGGGGGTGCAAGGTGCAGGCTCCGGCCGGGAGGCGCTTACCCCAGGCGGCTCGCATCCAGCCGCAGCAGGGTCAGGCAGGCTGCCTGCCTGAGCCCTGCTGCGCCGCTGGGCTTTTAGCAGCCCGGAGATCATGATCGACTGGCAGACGCTCCAGGGCCGAACCGGCGGTGGGGGA